AAAGCTCCGTAAGTGACAGTTGAAAGGCGACGATTAGCAGATGCGGGCCAGACGTCTCTTTGTCAGTGATTCACACCCGAATAGCGCTGAAATATTGCTGGAGCCTCATACGGCATCACCCCATGATTGTCAGAGTGAGATAAGACTTCTCAAAGGGTATGTTCTTGAGGACGATCATTTCTTGGTTGACTCTCTCGTGTTACATACAATACTATTACATCCCGTACCTCAATAGTATTTCTCTCTTCCCACAGAAGAATAGACTATAGACCAAACATACTTGAAAATTCAAAATCAAAAGCTCGTCATTTGAATACTTGAAAATGTAGCAAAAATGTATAACAAACGATACTCTCATGTCTCACGCCTGTTTTCATTTTCTTTCATGTCTGTGCCGTAAAGAATAATTTGAAAAAGGATGTATGCAATCTTAAAATGTTTCGGGAAAGACGATTTTGATCTGATTTCTCTGATAAAACCCTCGAGAAGACGTACGTCTGTTTGCACCTCCTTTTTCCACACGATTGTTCGATTTATTCAAGAGCTGGTATTGTAATTTTGACTTATTCATGTCCCTCGTTTTTCGGCGCACAACTGACTGTCTTGATGTCCTAACAAGGCCTTGGGCACGTGCTGTTTCTTGGGTACACGTTCTGATACATAGAGATTTCATGTACATGCCAGACACCTGTGCAAGTTATGTTGCTTACCAATCAGGGGTAAATGTCATGTGTAACTTCATGTGAAATTTTTCACCACATATTTATTGGCAAAAAGTATCATCTTAAACCGCTTTCGTGCCCTAGAAGTCTGCATCATACATTATGTACACCATGTATAGCTAGTAGTAAGTGGCACACTCCCTGTTAAGTCATGAGCATTGTCATGTCCCTATTAACTACGTGAGCATTGTAACCACTTGAAATTAACAGTGAGTTTGTTTCTACTAATCTAGTTTGAATTTAATGTCAATTCTGTTAGCGCAATATCGGTATTTTTATAATATCGTATTTTCTTATTGTATAATGTCGTATGCTTATTTGTATGATATAAAAACCATCAATTGTTTTTATGAGTTTTGTATGTCTGTCCGGGTTAATATCTGAAACGATTGAACTGATTTCGATGTGGTTTTCAATGAAAGAAAGTGTTTTGATGGCCATTACCTAAGATACTTTTTTTAAAATTGATATTTTCTAACCATCCGTGAGCAAAAACGGTTTCTCGCATGTTTTCTTTGTGCGAAACTGATATTTCAAACTAATGGTGTGTGAAACATTACGAAGCTTGCGCGAAACATCGCGAAGCGTGTGAAACATCATTTGCGCACTTCATGTTAAAAAAAATAGTATACGCAACACGTATTCCTTAACCCCATGGGCAAAATTTAACTTGCACTATTTATGCAAATATTATGAAACCACTAAATAAATTCATCGAAGTGAATTAAACATTCCTCCTGAAACCCATAAACTTCCCTATTCAATGTATTTCGAGACAATCTAATAGCGCAGTTAGCCTCAGAGCAATTGAAAGCGAAAATTGTTATTTTCCGAGAGTACGCAACAGTGCAGCCGTTTTCAGCTGCCTATAGCATCGAGGATCTCAGCAAATTTAGTAGGGCGTAAAGGGGCAATGCGAGCAACGTTGAGGCAGGATGAAGCGGACCGGAGCAGGGTAGGGTTAGAAGGGAGAGGGTGAAGTTGGACTTGTAGATCGTGGCTGGGCGCCAAAGGCCGGTGGGGGAAGGGGCGGGGCAGACCAGGCGAGGCCACGGTGCGGCACAGGGGGGAAGGGCAGGGTAGGCTAGGGTAGGGGGGAGATATATTGTACGCGTACGTTTTCGTGAGCTCCGGAATATCTATCTCCACTCGTTTGCCGACATTAGCTGACTTAAGAATAAACAACAAGCGTTGTACACAGAATCTGATAACCAGAAATGTTTGAACCACTGTAATAGAAGCTATTGGGCATTGAAAACGAACTACAAACTTGATAAAATTATTTTTGTCAAAATAACCAAACTCCCCAGTCCTATTGCAACTAGCGACGCGAGGGCTCAAGGATACGTGTTTGGTTAATACCAAACATACAATTCACTTCCTATCTAACAGATTATTATGATTAATAAATACCCGTGCAACGCAGGGTATTTCGACTAGTTACGCTATTGAACTCATAAAAGAATAATATCTTGTAAAATGAGAATCCCTGTCGTTTGTCAATTGTCAATTTGACACCCCCATTCACGTTGACACCCCCATCTTACGGACGGACAAATTCCGTCAAATTTACCAAATTACGTGAAAGTTTTCAGTAAGACAATTAATGTTGTTAACTATAAACATGTAGTAATGAAAGTTTCCTTGGTTCGGTTGAGAAATATTAACTAAACGTTTGAATACATACTTGTAGCTTTTACATTGATAGCATTACAAGAACAAGACGACGAAAGTATTGCCACGGACTGTCCCCTCCGAAAAAGACATATGTCCTCTTTATAGTTCACGAACTGCGTTATTTCTTGCTACAAGTTATCTTATGTATATGGATATGCTTGTGTCATTCTGCGTTAGATCTCAGCTCTTCACTCTCCAGTGCTTGGCCGTTCCCTGTGTCAAGGCCTGAGTCCCTGTCTGAAGCAGGGGCTCCGCAGCTGCCTGTTCGTCTCGACGGAAATTCGACGCTGCCAAAAACGCATCGCTCGCAGAAACCGCGGAAGTTTCTTTTGAGTGGGATTGCAAATTTTCACATGTTATTCACACGGTGGCGACTGGAGGTAGAGTATTTTTAGGAAAGTCAAGATAATTCCTGAAGTTGAGTTCCACTAATATAAAAAAAATCAAAAGCAAAATAATTTGTTAATATACATGTGATGCAGACGCAATCGGTGCATTCAAGGCTTGTAATGTTTGAAAAAATTAATATAAATTTTATTGATAATATTCGATAGTGTTGAAGGGTTTATAAGTTTATAGTTTATTAACTTTAAATAGTAAATAATATATCGTTGACCCCTCCGAGAAAGAATCGTGCCACCTAGCATAAATCGCTGTCTGAGAGTCTCTAATGTACAATGTCATCCAGTAGTAAACGAAGGCATTTCTAAGACGATTTTAGATTTAAGCTAAAAGGACGTAAGCAATGAAAGAAAAATATCAAAATGTCTTTATTAATATGCTGTGCGTTCGTTAATTGAAATGTGGATTTAAAGAGAAAATTGGAAAGAAAAAAATTAAAAACTGAATTTACTAACACTGGTAACAGCGATTTTGAAGACAAAGCTTTACGGCTCAAGCGCACAAGTGATTGGGAGGTTACAAGGTTTTATATCCACAGGATGTCGATCAGTTACATGATTTGTATAACGTTGTTGAGCTTGAGACATCTGCCGGACCATATTTCTTGGACCGAGTGCTCTGATCAGTGGTGTCCGTGATTTCTCGGATTCCAGGTGAAAAAGATGGAGCAGCATCCTAGAATTCGGACGAGCAACACCCTAGGATTCGCGCTATTCTTCTTTCTCTATCCCATCCTCACTGTAGAGTTGATGAGCCGATCATCCATTTTTGCAAGGCCCTATCAATCATGCTCGTACGGCAGGTGTCTGAGATCCGGACATGGCGACATATTGCGAGTTCCCAAGGTACTACATGTGCCTTGGGGTAAGAACACTAGTAGTATAGAAATATAATTATTAATGTCATTAGGCAGATATAGAGCAAATTATGGATGCGGTTGAAATTTCTACACCCACACGATAGCCAAGGTTTAAACCAGCCCAGTCAGTTATATGTGATATGGACTTTTGCCGTTCACTTCTTTTCTTAACACCATCTTCTTATAAATAAAATTCATAAAATTAAGAAAACGTTTTCTTTGTATAGAAATACTCGTCCGCCATGATAACTGCATTCATTTTTTTCGATTCTCGTCAACGGACTGAGGCCTGTCAAGTCCTCAACGGACTTCAGTCGTTGTATTTTCGGTCCTCTGCTTATTTAGTGACGTTATGTCGATATAACAGTCATTATATTAGGGATTTTTGCACGACATAAGAGAGTTGTATCATGGCAAAGCGTTACAGCAATCGACAGCTCTATCGATCTTCTGCTCATGCGCAGTTGAAGTTTCGCATCACTTCTGCACATATATGCATGCGTAAAAAATTGAGATTGGTGTCGACTGCTGTTACGCTATACCACGCAAAAACCAGGAAGTTTTTGCACGGCATAGCGGACAGGGATCGACAGCAATCTCTGTTTTCTGCGCCTGCGTAGATACATAAAAGTTGTGCAAAACGCGAACTACAGAAGATCGATAGTTTTGGCCATAGCGTTAAGGTTAGAGGGTGCAAAAATTAGGGAGTTTGTGCACACTCGAACGTTTAAGCACTATCAATCTTCTGGGCATGCGCCGTTCAAGTTTTGCATGCCTTTCGTGTATCTGCGCTTGCGCAGAAGATCGACAGTGCTGTCTAGTATGCCGTGTACAGCCTCCCTAATACCTACGACGGTTTTTTTGCACGACATAGTGTTCAGCAATCTACTGAAATCTCGAACTTCTGCGCATGCGGAGATGCACTAAAGTGATGCGAAGCTTGAACTGATCATGCACGTAAGATCGATAGTGCTGTCGATTGCTACAACGCTTCACCGTGTAAAGTAGGGAATTTGTGCAGCCACAACGTTAAAGCACTGTCGATCTTCTGCGCATGCGCAGTTCAAGTTTCGCATCACTTTTAGTGCATCTGCGCACGCCCACAAGATCGATAGTGCTGTCCGCTACGGCGTGCAGAGCTTCCCTAATCTCCCTATTACCACAAAAAAATGAAAGAAAAAACAAAAGAAATAAATAAACAAAAGAAAGAAAAAACAAAGAGAAAAAACAAAAGAAAGAAAAAAACAAAAGAAAGAAAAAAAGAACGTGTTTGTCGCGCGGGCTCACCTTGCGCGCGGCAGAGCGCGACGGGGATGGGGTGGTAGTTGTGCGCGCCGAAGCGGGCCTCGCGCTCGAACACCTCCTGCGAGGACGCGGCCTGCGCCTGCGCCTCCGCCACCTGCACGGCCGTGGCCTTGGCGCGGCGCAGCGGCGCGGCGTGCAGCTTGGCGGCGGCGCGCAGCAGCGCGGACGCGTTCGCGGCGCAGCGGAGCCCTCGCACGCCAGCCATCGCGGACACGAGCGTCGCCGGTTGTGCCCAACTAATTCTAACGAGCAGAGCGCAGCGGGCGAGGGGGGAGGGTGGGGAGGGAGGTGGCGGCACGCTTGGTGATAAGCGCCGCGCCGCGCCGCGCGATGACCTTCGGGGCGAAGGTCGCCCCTCCCCTTCCCCAACTCCGCCGGGGAGGCCCGTCGGGGCTCCCGCCCGGCTCCACCATGCCCCGCCACGCCACGCCAAGCCCGCCGCCGCCGTGGCTGCCGCGTGACCTACCCTACGCAAGTGGTTTGCAGCTGCGGGTGGCAACATGACGTTGGTTTACTGTTATCGGCGGGATATTTTTGGCGAGTGCTCAGTTTATGTTTTCTAATGTTCATTTACTCTTAACTGACTTATTATTCATTATTTGTCCCTTTGCGGATTCGAGGCAAAAAAAACATTGATTGTTTGAATGTTAGTGATCCCGGGCACGTCAGCTACTAGGGTCATTAGTCCCGTAAGTGTAGCACACATTTTAGCGGTGATCTTCCCCCGCTGGATGGGCGAGACCCGGTGCCGACCTACGTCCGCTAGCCGGGTTTCCCCAACCAGATATCTCCCACCAGTGGGGCACCAAACCAGTCGGGGCAAGCTGTAAACTCCCGACTGTTCTCCCGTCATGTGTGGTAGAGTAGTGCATGTAAGTGTGAGTTTGTGTGCGTGTAACTGTGTGTTTGTGTGTGTAAGGGGTGAGGATAGAACAAAGAAGAAGAAGGAAGATCGCGCGCGGTCTGTGGCCCATTTGTTTAGGAACTACTCCGGCGTTCGCCTGGTGTTCATCGGAGGAACCAGGGAAAACTACCTATCATAGAACCCGGCCGATAGGCGTCCCCTCCAAACAGCAGCACAATTCGAACTAGCGATCTAGCTAGTGTCGAAGCTCCTGCTCCCGTCGGGACTCGGACCGTATGACCTCCCGGTCAGCGGCGCTGCCGTGACATGAGTTGACAGCCTGAGCTACACAAGACGCTTGAGATCGTAATCCCAAAATGTTACCCCAAATGTGCTTTTTTCATAATTTAGGTTTAATGCGACCTGCAAAGCAATATATTGGCATTGTCTCCGGGTGACGGGCGGGGTTGAGTGGGGTCGAGCGGGGTCGAGCGGGGTCGAGCGGGGTCGAGCGGTGTGGAAGTGGGCGTGGCAAGCAGAATAGGCGGATTCGGGCAGAGCGGGCCGGATGGAAGAAGATAACGGAGCGGGCAGGCCGTCGAGATACGGGTACCCAAATAACCAATAATCCAATATGACCATTGGATTTATTTATCTATTTATTTAACGACAAACCCTTTTTTAATGCGTGGTTTGACATAATTGGGGAGGGGAAGGCGAAGTGTTGTTGTCTATGAACGTTTTCTTCAGCTTTCGAATTCATACCCTATGATCCAACTATATTTTGCTATATTAAGTTGAATTAGAATATGTAATGAGCGTTTTGGTAATAAGGTTCAAGTGAACACGTCCAAAGAGGGTTTCTATTGTGATATGCTTTACTGGGTAGTGAGTGGTCACCCCTCTGTATCTGACACCTCTCTAATCGGACAGGACAAAATGGTTGACAAACATTGATCTTAACAATGAGTTCACTCTTTATTATATTTATCAGGAGTCTCCATGTGTTGTAGTCCACACGTGCATTGACCTTGGTATGCGTATACGAAAATACATGGGCCATTCAAATGAATTTTTTAGGGTTGGACCTCTCGCAATCGTATGAAATTCTGTTTCAAAATTTCATATGAAAATTATGAAATCCTCTGTCAGCAAATCACATTTATTGTAGAGAAGCTACAATTTATCGAGAGATTCCCCTTATCTTCTTTGCTTGCGTGCAAGCAAAGTAATGCTAAATAATGAAATAATTAGATACAATAAATATAATTTAAAAACAATTAAATAATATTAAATTATCCATAATTCTTATTAAAAGAAGAATATGATTTATTCAAATAACGTAGTATATTTATTCATTTTTTGTGTGAACTCAAGTAAAGTCATCTGTTCCATGTTGTAGATTTACTGCACGTAAAATATTCTCAAGCCTAAATGAAGCCTCTGAGCTAAACTCAAATTGCCAGTTTCGAGCCCAAGTAATGCATTATTTCCTCACTTATTGGTGAAAAGAGCATAGTGAAATTTGCGTGATCAGACTCAGGCCTCATGGCCTGAGTCTCACCGCGTAAAATAAAGCAATATTGAATTGCATAGAGATGAGCAATAACAATGAATTCCATACGAAGGTAATATTGAGAGCACAATTTTGTAGTAAACGACGTCAAAAGCGTTTGAAAGATCTAATATTATTACAATACGTGCTTTTTTGATCTATTGATGAATTAACATCTTTAAGGAAAGAAAAAATAACAGTTTCAGTAGAATTGGATTTTCTAACACTTCAAGCCAGTTTTCAATTATATTGATCCTTGTGGCTTAGATGTTCTCTTCCTAATGCTTATCTTTAAGTGATATAATGCACCTTTTTTAATCTGAGCATTTAATAAAATATGTTTATTTATAGTTCATTTTTACACAATTTTTCAGGATATTGAAGTTATGTTAACAGAACTTTTTGGAGATGCCAGAATTCATATCATAATTATTGGTAATTATGATTTTATGTTAACAATACAGGGAATAAAATTTTAATAAGTATTTAATAATTTTTATTATAAATTTAGAGTTTCAAGGGAAAGAATTATTTAGAAATAACGTAGAAAATTATTTATTTACGGAGTGTGAAATATATCTTTGTGGATCGGGAACGAATTCGTTTAATGTTGTAAATTTTTTCCTAGATCGAAATGTTAGGCATAAAAAAATGTTAAAGAGTAGAAGAAATTAGGAGATTGATTAATGATGGATGTCTTTATTAATTGTATTTGTAATTATTTAAGTATCTGTTTGTTGGAGAGGAACCATTCAGCTTTTAGAATTCTCCGTAAAAATTTATTTTGTATGGTTTGTATTTTCTTCATTTTTTACGCAGATGCATTGCACCAAATGCATGCATATGTAAGAGAAGGTATTATTTTTGCCTTGAATATTGATGAATATTAATGTACTACAATCAATTTCTAATTTTGAAAATTTATTAGTTAAGTTAGCAATTGTTGAGTAATAACATTAAGAGGAGAAAACATTTCGGTGAGCCGCACATTCCCACTAGTGCGCAAGTGTATTTATGCTTTCGTGTTAATGATTTCTTTGTAAACTGGAGCTAGTGCAGACTTTCCAAGTGCATCTAAAAACATGTTTGCTATTTTTTAAGTAATCATTTCACAACGCGGAAGCGCTGCCTGTTGATGGGGAAGTGAAATCGCCAGACACACAATCGCTCTAGGAAAATGCCCCTGCCTTGTGAACCTGCTGGTCGCTGTAGCCATCCGGATCATATAAAGTGCTAGTCACTGTTTTATTTGTACGAACATGCTTATTAAAATAATCTTGCATTCTCAAAACATCGGTAAACACTCAAATAGTTTCTTGATCGGTTGCTGTCAAGGTTCTCAACTTGATAGTAAGTGCAATTTTCCACGAACACTATGATGACACAGATGCCAAGTCATAGAAGAACCTGCTGACGTTAAATGAGAATTTCAAGAGTAAAATATCTGTAGGCGTACCTTGTTTATGTCTGAACCACATTCTGTAATGACAGCTCGGCATGAAATATGTAGTACTTATTGTACTGTCTGTATGAAGTTCTCGCAAAGACCAGATGTCTGAAATTGTAAGATGTTTCAATCATTCAGTAATTTAGATATTTCAGGTTAGTGATACTTTATTATATTTCATAGAACGTTGCATAAAATACTGTTATAATTTTATTAGGTAGTGCAACTGGCAATAATAGTAATATATATTGTAAATATTCAAATACAGTGGGCAAATAAAACACTTAAAATGATTGTCTTAAATCAGTTTTAAAAACAAGATGAATCCTCATTAGTAATAGACAATCAATTTCTTTTTAATCAGGAATTTTTAAAGGATATTTGAAAAATAATTTGGACATAGTTACACGCTTCGTGCATTGATTATTCACATCTTCAAGTAAGCATATTTGAACATAACAAACCCCTATTTTTTTGCGTATAGACCAACTCGGACCACGCGTGCATCCTGCAAGTACCTTTCTGGCGGGGGGGGCAGCATTTTAGCTGAAATTTTTTATCCCCCAAGGTTGTTAGTCCTGGAGGTATGGACAATGAGGTGATTATGATAGTGAGGGGTGAAAGGACGGCACACACATACAGACATACAAATACATCCATGTCCGCGGCAGGTCTCGAACCCGCAATCTTCTGGTCCGAGACCACTACGGCACTACTGTTTTAATGATCTCGGCCGGCCATTTGATCGGCCAGACATCTCAATATTATTCAAAAAAATTTAAAATCATTGAAATATTATGCAACAAGTAATATGTTTTTTTTAAAATGTTTATATACACGTACCGCGCCTCATTTGTTTCTTACGAAAAAAACTGTTTGGCAAAAATGTATTTTTGAATAAAATTCCTGAGAAATTATGCATTGAGCAGACTCAAGGATGCTTATGCAAAAAGGCCGAAACCTCGTCACTAACTTGAACACGCATAGAGAAGCGTAAACGCGCCCTCAGATTGATCGATTGATTGGTTAGCGATTTCGAGCGCGTCAACTGCTAAGGTCATTACTCCCGTAAAAGTAGTGCATATTTTATCGCGGGAGGTAATACTCCCTTTCTGTATGGCGAGATCCAATGCCGACTTAACCTACACGCTGGCTTGCGGAATTTTCCTCAATCAGGTTTCTTCCAGCAGCAGGGCAGCGCCCCAACTGGGACAAGCTCTAAGCTCGCAACCGGTCTCCCGACATGAGCGGTAGTGTAGTGCGTGTGAGTGTAAGAGTTGAGTATAAACAAGGAAGGGGAAGGGAAGATCACGCGCCGTCCGTGGCCCGTTTGATAGGGTATTGCTACGGCATTCGCCTGGTGATCAGAGAACCCATGGTAAACTACCAATCAGTACAGTCAAATAGCCGCTAGAATTCTCCTCCAGAGAGCTGATAGGCAACGATTGAATTCGACCTAGCTATGTAGCTAGTGTAAAAATCCTGCCATCGTGGAACCCTAGGACCTCTCAGTCATAGACACTGCAATGACATCAGATGATGCCCTGAGCCACCTTTCTTGGTGTCCCTACGGGCTGATATGGCCCAGGGAAATAAATGTTGCCCCGGCAGTGTC